TTCTGTCCACACAGGTGACATCCAGACATGTTCCACATCAGGGCTTTGCCTCAAATCGCTGCTATCTTGAAATAATAGCTTGTTGGTTTAACAGCGATTAAAAGCAGTGGCGGCTGGTGGATTTTTCTTCGGGGGGCTACAACTCCAAAATAGACATATCTCAAAAAGCAAGTAAACTTACTAAGTTGTAGCACACCAGTGTATTTATTGAACAAATGAAAATAATAAAACTGTCATGTAGTGTTTTATTTTTGTATATAAATTGTGCCCTTCTGTAACTGAAAAGCAAATTTCTTCATGACTCTCTGGTTAAAATCAGGAATGCTTTAACAAGATTCTTTTCTGTGGAGCATAGTCAGTGCAGTGAGATGTGATGTTGTACCTGAGGAAACTCTGGATTCTCTTCAGTGTTCAGAAGCTCCTCTCAGATTCAGCTGTGGTCAGAGGAGATGTGATGAGAATCTTCAGCAGAGTCACAGTCTCTGAAGGTGTCCTGCAGATGTTTCTCCATGAAGAGCTGGTACAGAGCCACAGCACCACTGCAGCTCCTGAACTAGATCAGACTTCTTGGTCCTGTTCAGCGCTGGGTGAGCCTCCATGTTCTGCAGTGCTGCTTCAGAGAACTGTCCTGCAGGAACCTGTCAGCCTGTAGCACTGATCAAATGTTTTGTGAATGGCTCAAGATGGTGTCACAAACCTAAAAAAAGTAAATGCACAAATTTAATTCAATATGGAGATGGTTACAAGTCAGCTTTATAACATATATTTGGGGCGGCTGTGGCGGAGTGGTTAGGGGAATCGTCCTGGAACTGGAAGGTAGCTGGTTCGATCCCCCATCTCAGTCGTTGTGTCCTTGGGCAAGACACTTCACCCACCTTGCCTACTGATGGTGGTCAGAGGGTCCGGTGGCACCGGTGCATGGCAGCCCCACCTCTGTCTGTGCGCCCCAGGGCAGCTGTGGCTACAGTGTAGTTTGCCATCATCAGAGTGTGAATGTGAGTGTGAATGGGTGAACGTCTGTTAGTGTAAAGCGCTTTGGGATCCAGAGGGACTTAAAACGCGCTCTATAAGTTCAGTACCATTTACCATATATTTAATATACAGAAACACTTTGTTATTTTAATAGCAAAACATTGTTGCACCTCTAAGGTAAACCATTATATTATAT